GCCTCGGCCACCGCCTCCTCCGCGCCGGTGGAAGCCGCCACCGCCGCCGCCACGACTCCGGAACCGATCCCGAGACATGTCTGTGGTCAAGGGGCGGTCGAGGCAAAAGCGAAGAAGACGTTCAGGGAACGTGGAGGCCACCTTTGCTTCGCACAAAATGGCGGATGACACAGGCGGCGCGCCGCCTTTGTCCTCTGCTTATATGGGCCAGTTTAGCGAGGTACCGCCCATACCTTAATGACAGCTCCGGTAGCCAATTGCAAGGGCGAAACTTGATGACGCAAAGTTACGAACGGAAAATCTCTCCTATTGGCTACGGAGTTAGAGGCGGGAGGCACCAGGAGACTGAGGCCATGTCGGCAAATGAACAGAGAAGGCGTAGGCTGCATGTCACTGTGATTTGCTGCGAGAAATTTGAATGAGCATGCCAAAATGATTTTCCCGTGAAAGCAGAAGACCGAAGGCTCTGTCAGTGCCTGGGGAGAAGAGTTAGGGAGGGTCTCTCTTTATTGATTTCCTCTAGAGCCGGGGAGATGGCTTGGTGGAATAAACGCTTCCCAGATTTCCTCTAGAAGCTGACTTTGCCCGGAGAAACAGATTTTCCGCGGTTCAAAGTTATACACTCAATGCCTACTATATATCCTATCCTGATGAAATTAGATGAAATTAGAATTTTACTAATTTCAAGCACACACAATGTTACTCGTTAGGCTTGAGTGGGTGGGTGCCCTCTTTTCAAAAAGAAAAGAGCCTTTAATTGAATATGTACATAATGATTTACAAATACTAATTCACAATTAGCAAGACTTTCTCTGAAAATTAAAAAAAATTAAAAATAGGGAGCTAGAGGATGTCGCTCAATGTGAGAAGCCCTTGGGTTTTATGCGTAGTATCACACACACACATACACACACACACACACACACACACACACACACCGCTGGCTTTTGCCTATAATCCCAGCACTGAGCTACTAGTGAGGACAGCCTGAACTACATAGTTAGACTCTGTCTTTAAAAAGATAAATTGTGGGGGCCGGGGAGATAGCTCAGTAGAATAAGTCCTTGCCTGGCAAGCATAAAGTCCTGAGTTCAATCCCCGGTTCTGCAAAGAAA